TCTCTCTCTCTCTCTCTCTCTCTCTCTCTCTCTCTCTCTCTGTGCGCGAAGGCACTTTTGACAGCCAAGAGTGTGGCACGGCCAAGAAAGTGGAAAAATAAGAAAGCCACTCGCCAAGGTCTCTCTGCACTACCGTGGTCACCGAGACAAAAAAGAAAGGGGTTGTATTTGTCCACGTTCTAGCGAAAAATTCGTTCTCATTTTGCACACTTGAGGAGTGGAGCAAGAACCCAAGTAGGGAAAAGGAATGAAACTCAACCCATAACATGGAAAGGTATGTCGCCACTTTGCTTTTACCTTTTTGCTAAGGCTCTCAGACCTCCAGCCGTGGTTCAGAACTAAGCCTACTCAGCTTGGACCCGACCCCCTTATGCAGGTAAAGCTGGTCTCGTTTACTCGAACATAATGTGTATCCGTCGTAAACGAATACAACGTACGGTATGCGTTGTCGGTGCGAATACGCTTACAAGGGTATCCGCCCTGGCTTTTGCAAATGACAGAAAATAAGGTTGGATCAGAATCTGAGTATATCACGTGAGATGTGGCCGCGTCTGTATCCTGCATTCGGCTAGGAGGTTGACTAAGTTAGAGGGTGGTTGTGGATCATACAAAGAGTTAGACAAATGTTTCTAAGTTGAATGACCTTATTGTTATGTTTATTTGGACTGCCTTCTAACGGGCCAAACAATGCTTTCTACGTTAAATAGTTTGGTTGTTGTGGATTTGTTTTGCAATATGTATAAACTGTTTTTCTAGGCCAAATGTTTGTTTATAAGTTGAATGACTTGATTTACCAAGTTTTTGTGAAAGGTTTTTAAACGGACCTTGACATTTGTTTCTAAGTTGAATAGCATAGGGATCCTTGCTTTTCTTTGAATTGTGAAGGAAATAGTTGAATATTTGTTTCTAAGTTGAATGACTAAACTCTTCATGTGCTTTCTTTTTTAGAAAATTGAGGTTGAGACTAAGTATTTGTTTCTTAGTTGAATGACTTAGTCTGAGAGGCTACACACACAAATAACGAAATATGAAAATAGTTATTTCTATATTATATATATATACTTTATATGGATGAGCTGGTCAGACAAACCCTGACAGGGTTTTTAAGTTAAATGCTCTGGCTATAGCTTTTCACTAAAAGAAGAGAGTATTCAATTAAAGAGTACAATGAAAAAGTAAGATTAAGGCAGATTGAACATTTGTTTCTAAGTTGAATGATTCAGTCCTGCATGTGGATGACTTATTAAATACCTAAGCGAGACTAACCATGGTTTCTAAGTTGAATGACTTATTGATATGTCCAATGAAGAGTGAAATTTTATCGCGCCACATGTTTAAAAACAGAGACAGGACATTAATAGTCTAGTCTTTCTTATGCCCTATGTAAGCTAGGGTATTGGGGTTTATCTAACCGAAAGATGATGAACTACTTATGAGAAAAATAACTTGGGAGTTCTTGGTGAGAGTACTTACTCATTGTAGTATGGACCTGCATGTCGCTGAGTGTGAGCTCTACTCGTTCCCAGCCTTATATTTGATAGGTAGTTGTTTTAGATGCTCGTTCAATTTCTGCATTTTCTGAGTTGAGTGTTTTTTTATTATACTTAGATCAAATTTCTGTATTTTCCGAGATAAGTTTATTTCTTATTCTTGGATTCATATAAATCTTTGAGATACACTTTCACTAAAGGAACTGCTGCCAAAATTTTCGCAAATCCGAGGAGTTAGTGAAATATTTATCATTTACAAAGTACAACTTTTGTTTTAGTACATAAATGACTTAGTATAAATTTGAAAAACCTATTTCGCAAAAGTAATGTTGCCCAAATTTTAAACAATTTAAAAAGTTAGACAAAAATTGGCTTTGTGAAGTCAAAGTTACTTTTAAATTTCGTATTTAGCTTTGTATAAATTTTGGGAAGTCACTTTTTACACGGGGAACACTGCCAATTTTTTTTGAAATTCAGAGGAGTTGAAATATTTTCGAGCGTTTGGCAGTTTGCCCTTGCATAGGGCCGATACTGCCGAAATTCCTAGCATTTTCAGATAGGTATCACGGGTGAGGTAATAAGGTAGGATTATTTCATAATCACTCGAGCATATCTTGGGCACTTGGACAACTTACGTATCCATGCATAGCTAGTCAATATGATTAAGGTCAATGTTGCCACAATATTTATTTAGAGTCTTGTGTGCGATACTCGTTTAATTCTTTCACTGAAAGTTAGAGGAAAATTTGGAAAAAGAGACTAGGTGCGATTTACGTATGAAGTCTGATATTGTTCTTTGTGAGATGCATGCGTCGTTAGATCTGACCGTCCGAGTCGACCAGTTTAAAA